TTACCAGTTTCCTTTTTACCTTCTTTATTCGTGAAAGTGATTTTATCTTTAGCTGGTATCGGTTGGAAGAACATGTTTTTGGGATAGTCAAACCACACTGTTAAAATAGCTGTTCTAGGTCTGAATTTTTGTTTATTGAAGAGTTTTACAAATTCTTTTTCTTCTTCTGGTAGAAACGGTCTTCCACTTTCCGCTCTCGGATATTCACTGTCTAAATCCGACATGGCGGAAGCGTATAAACCGTTAGCATCAAATGCCATTAGTTTAGTACATTCTATTTTTTTAAGTCTCGAATGAACCTCCGTTTTGTCTTTTGTGCTTGCGCTGTATTCTTTGAATAAATCAATTATGTTATTACTTTCAAGTTCTGTATATTCCTTTAATACGTTACAAATTTCATCCATTTTGTTCGTTTCAAATGATTTTCTATTTGCCGAAACTCTTCCTCCTTTAATAGATCGTCTGATAAATTTTCTTATAAAAGGATTTGTGTGCGAATAAACTTTTTCTATATTTTCTTTTTCGGTATGTTTCGCAACCATTCTAGTAGTTTCATACCATTCTTCTTCCACCATTTCTTTATCGTAATAATATAAATAATACCAACCCTTTAAAGATAAAGATGGAGCCGTTAGATTATTGGACATATTCTGGTTTACAACTTCTTTCGTGACTTGGTTGTATTTTATCAAACAAGCTCCCAAACAGAGAGTGTCTCTCTTGGCGTAAGGTTCCCATTCGTGTCTCAATTCCTCCCAGTTGTCTTGCGTGTATTTAGCGATATCTACGTCGGCAATCTTTCTCAAATTCGCGGGAAGATTGGAAGAATTTCCCCATGCAGCCAAACTAGAGGATTCGTGTTGATAGGAACATGTGAAATTAATATGTTGTACATAATTACCCTTTATTTCTTTCTGTCTTTTCCATTTTTTCTGTAAATCGTCATCCGTGTATGGATTAGATAAAGGAAAAGATAGAATTCCTCTGGGTGTTTTTAAAGGGCAAAGCGTTAGTTTTTTTGCATTTTTAAACACGATTCAGTTGTCGAATCCCCTGCCGCTATGAGAAATTAATATTAATCTCTTTCTATCATATTGACCTAAATATTTCAACATTTGATCGATGCAATCTGTACCTACAAATATTTCTACTACATTCATTAGTTTATCATAAAATTCTTCTGGAATGGGATCTGTAGGCTTTAAATCTGGAAATAGATTATTTATTCTGTTTAACATTTTCCTTAGTTTTTCTAAATTAATTAAAGTGCAGGCATAAGGAATTGCTCTTCGCATGTCTTTTTCTGAATACATTTCGCAATCCCAAGCGAATAACGCATCATCACTCATACTCGAAAGCACGTTTAGTTTGAGGGGTGAAACCTGTGATACTGCGTTGTCGTCTCTACACGTTTTCCACACCTGTTCGTAATTGTCTTCTATTTCTTGAATTCCCAAACTTTTTTGGCTTCTTCTAATCAAACAGAAATGCGAGTTGTGTAAGTACAAAACCCAATCTAATTCATCGTGAACGTCTCTGGGGTGAAAATGTCTGTTTTTGGGATTATAAATTTGAAACGAAGTGTTAAATTTCTTGTTGAATTCATTCATTCTAGCACAAGTCATCACTTGAAACCGAGGAGTGACATGTATTGTCTGTGATTCCCTTCCTTGACTATCTCTCCATCTATTTTAATTTGTCCTTTGAATGTTTTAAATTTATCAGAGATTGCCTTGATAACATCGGAAAATAGGGCGTTTTCTATCAATGTTTCATCAAGTTCGATTTTATTCATATTTTTTTAAGTATATATTTTTGATTATTTCTTTATTTTGACCGCTGATATTTCTGTATGGAATTTGTCCAAAATTTCATTGAATTCTTGTAATTCTTCAACTGTTATGTTCTTGTCTTCTCTCGATCTTTCGAAAAAGATGTACAATTGATTAAGATACATATTCAAGATATCCGTTTTCTTTTTATAATGAGCTTTCTTTTTGCTCGTGAAACCTAAAGTGATGAGGCCACAAGAGGTCGTTTGAACGGCTGTTAATGCAGCCAATACGGTTGGGACGATGACAGGAAGCATTAATCCACCAGTCACGGCCGTTGCCACCGTTACTCCTACCGTTAGAACTGTGCTCGCTGTTTTGAAAAAAGAATCGATTCTACTCAATGTTTTCCTGCATGAATTGTACTGTCTCAACTTTATTTTCAACTCTTCTTGTTTGTCTATCATGTATTGTTGTCTGCTTTCGAGTTCCATTTTTTAAGTCGTTAAATTAAGTGAATTTCCGATAAATGGAACCACGGAATATCGTATAGAACATTGTTGTTTGGCCTAGCATTATTATTAAATTTTCGGGTATTAAAAGTAAAAACATTTACGCGTACTAACGACATTCTT